TAAGACAGACGCAGAGGAGGCAGCACAGGGCGCCAGCGAGCCTAGAATCTGGTCAGTAAGTCAGTTCCTGGACCGTGAGATCGAACGACTTACATCTGCATGCTAGTGCCTTCTGTATCCACGATGGTCATCGTCCTTCTCATACAAAACGGGCAGTCAACCGGTTGCGGCTTGTCGCCGAGCATGTGCAGTGGTGTGACACCCTGAATCATTGGCGGCACTGGTTTCTGGCCGGCTCCCTTCTGTTGCTCTACGGGCGGCGGTCTCGTGGTTGGTCTAACGTCGTGTAAGTAAATGTCGTGGGCCATCTATCGCAAACGCGAGCCTCACCCTACGTTGTGAACATCTGCGGGTAGCTCTGTAGCTGGCACCGGGCTGGCATTTGCTGTTGTGGCGACGATTAGACTCCTATCATGGGCCGGCGCTGGCTGTTGAACGATTGCGGCAGGCGCAGCAGGTGCCTCGACTGTAGCTGGCTGTGGTTGTGACATCGTGTTGTTGAATTGTGGTTTCGTTTCGAAGGATCGGGTCTTTTTCCAATTGTCCAAGGATCGCAATTATAAGTACGCACTTGAAGATGAGTCAAAACATTTGAATTCGAATGAGTATTTGGGGACACGAAATCGACTCATCATGCGCCTTATGTATCGTATTCCTCACCGCAAACAGCTTTGCTGTGCCCCCTTGGCGAGTAGCTGAGCCCACAATCCAGGCAGAACTGTGGCATCCAGGGCAAACTGGGTTTGCCAAATTGGCGTTAGGCCGCCTTGGCCAACATAATCCACACGAGCTTATGAGTACCCCTGCGCGCAGCTTACATTTGGGGCGTTTTGTACCTTGCAGCAAAGGTCCTTTTGGCTTAGCTACAACAAGGATTAGAATTGAGTCCCGGGTATCCTATTATTGTGTTGGTGATTGTCCCTTGAGGAGTCCGTGATTAGACGATGAGACGGCAATGGCCCAGCTGCATCCTTCCGATCCTTCATTGGCCTAAATGGCCTGGGTACTGACTCCTGGTGGCATCTCGTCATGTTTATTGCGGTTTATTATGGAGACTAGGTTGCAGCTTCGGCTCTGGAGCAGACAGTATTCTTTCTTTCGTTTATACTTCAGTTAGTTACGGCAGGTTATCGCCTGTGGGCACGTCTTGCTGACTGCCGCATGGCCGTGACTGAGAAATATGTGAGTGGTCACTGGGAGACCTCTGTGGATAGACAGCATTCTCCGGTTGGCAAAACGGAGGAAACAACCGCGGAGGACTGAAAAATAGTACGTCACAAGAGCTGACAGCATTTATTGTTAGTACTATCCCTATACTAAATACAAATCAACAGCAGAAGTCCAGATTGCTTTCTCGGTGGTATCGTTAGCGTTCGCCGTATTACTCCAATAATGTTTACCCATATCAGAGGAGACATCCCAAGCCCCTTCGTGACTATCCCCGGCTACTGTGCTTGTTTCTCAGCCACAGGTGGTGCTGTTGAAGCGTACTGAGACGGCATTGGGGCGTAGGATTGTGGACCGAACGTCTGAATCGTGCCATTATACGGCCGGGTTGCAACCCTTTTGTGGCAGCTGGAGCAGGCATAGTGAACGTCCTCACACCACCCAGCGATACAGGGTACGCAGGTAAGGCAGACGCAGAGGAGGCAGCAGAGGACACCGGCAACCCTGATATGTCTTGTCAGTCCCGAATTCCCGTGAGGTCTCACGATCAGTGAATATAGATTAGCACTTACATTTGCATCGAGGTACCCTCTTTAGTGATAGTAGTCTGTGTTCTCTTCTTACAAAACGGACAATCGATCGGTTGCGGAGTGTCACCGAGGGCATGTAGTGGTGTTACGGTTGGGGGAGGGGGGAGGGCCTCGATGGTCGGTCCATCGTGCTTTTGACCTGCCCATGGGGTGGATGTCGGCTCGCTAGCGAAGGTCAGTACACATCCTGGGTTTCCATCGTCGCCTGAGATACAGAAAAAGAAGATGCTTACTCGGTGTTGATCAGGCTAGTCGGCATTTCCTTGGCTGGGGCCGGACCTGTACCCTGCATCGTGGTCGCTACTGACTCCCTGTCGTGAGCTACCGCAGGATGCTGTACCCCGGTGTAGGATGAATCGAACGTGTGAGGTTGTGACATAGCGACTTCTTGCTGGCGAGTTATGGCTTGCTATGGGTTATTCAATACTATATTCAACAAGAACGAAAGAAGAATTGCCCGTGTATAGATGAACGGAAAACCAGTCGGGACGAGAACAGAATAAATACAAGTGCGAGAGATGTTAGTCTCATTGTTACACACCCACAAAAGCTGAATGGGGCACCTTAAGATTTACGCGCATCACTTTAGGCAGAACTGTACCATCAAGAAGTCATTCGGGCGGGCTATCATTGGCCCCTACGGATAGAAAGGAATGATTTGCATTGCACTGCGAAATGCCTTGCGGCACAGCCTTACAGGCAGGTCTCAGACACGAGAAGGGGTTACTACTGGGGGTGAGTGTGGCCGAGATTAGAACTGCCACAATCAGGAAATGCCCCATCATTTGGCATGCATGGGCAGGTGGTTGGTCGCTATTTGTCCGAAGCTCGGGTAGTAATAGCTTAGGTGTGCTTCGCCTCTTCCTCCCTCTGTATTGATGCAGCAGGGGTTGGAATGCGTCTCTGTGATTGCCCAGCCTTATTGTAACCTCTGGATCCTCTGGCAATCCACGTCAGCACAGCCCGTCGACGTAGGACTGCTAGAGACCTACATCACCAGATGGTATGTGAATCATCGTTGGGCCCTGAATATGAATATGACGATAGAAAAACAACCCATCTTAAAAACAACATGTCCTCCCGATTCAAGTCTAGATTCGATTCGCTCCGTCAATCGGGACTTCGGAATCCCCAAAAAGACCACGTCGATGTAGCAGCAAGATGCGATTAATCAAAGCTTCATCAATCAACACCGAAGGATCACTCATTGAGTTGATTGACTTCACTCCCGATAAAATCCCACGCTATGCCATCCTTTCGCATACTTGGGGGTCTGATGAAGTTGTTTATGCCGACATCAGAAACCATACAGCTGCGAGGAAAGAATCGTTTGAGAAGATTCGCTATAGCTGTCACCAAACAATTGCCGATAGGTTTGAGTACGTCTGGATTGATTCTTGCTGCATCGACAAAAGCTCCAGCGCAGAGCTTTCTGAGGCCATCAATTCCATGTTCGACTGGTATGACAAGGCCGAAGTGTGCTACGCATATCTTTCGGGTGTCTCGGCTACGGTTGACACTTCGAAAACGGACGGCGAATTCGCTGGATGTCGATGGTTTACGCGAGGGTGGACGCTGCAAGAACTCCTAGCCCCCGATGATCTAATTTTCTTCTCCGGCGACTGGGTCAAGATCGGCGAAAAGCTGACGCTGAGTCGGCCGCTTTCGGTAATCACCGGCATTGAAGAAGACATCCTCAAAGGTACCAAGCCGATTGAATCCGCGAGTATAGCCAAAACAATGTCCTGGGCATCCCAACGCATAACCACAAGGCCAGAGGATGTCGCGTATTGTTTGATGGGTCTTTTCGGGGTCAACATGCCAATGCTCTATGGCGAGGGCGACAAGGCGTTTTTGCGCCTGCAAGAAGAGATCATGAAACAGTCCGACGATCAATCGCTGTTCGCATGGGTAGATCTCTCGGCATCAACTGAGACTTACCATGGTCTCTTGGCCAAGTCGCCCCTGAACTTCGAGTACTCCAACTCCATCGTACCATACCAGGATTGGGAGCCTCGGCCGCCATATAGCATGACCAATCGCGGCTTGCGTATTGACCTGCCTTTGACTCTCAGAGGCGAGGAGCTGTTCGCTGCTGCGTTAGACTGCCCGGCTCCTCCAGACTTTGAAGATTCAAGCTTCCTGGCGATCTACCTAAAACGCATCTCACACAGCGACCAGCAGTTCGCCAGAGTAAGGGCAAATCAGTTCGCCAAAGTCCAGGAACGAGGCGACCGCCTGGTTCAGGAACGGGGAAAACGGCAGACAATCTTCGTCCGGCAGAATTTCAATGGCATTATCAGCTCGGAGGGCGTCTTTCCTCAACACGTCTTACAACTACGATGTGGTCCATCGACCACAGACTATACCTTAACCGAAGTCATCACCTCGGAAGAGCACAAAAAGGACAAACCCAAGGCCCTCATGTCTAGCAGGACGCGCGGGTCTGATTGGCTTCGGACTGCCAACGGACAGACCATTGCATTTCGAAGTCCGAAGGCTGGGGGTCAGCTTGCGGGTGCAGTGGTTTTCTCAATCTCCCAATTCGAAGGTTCTAGGCTCTTGATCATGTTCGGGTCGGCCGACAGTGGGAAGGCTGGCTTCCATGCACAGGAACTGCCTCCTCGGGGAGAACTTGTCGGATCAACGGAGAAAGGATTGAGTGAGGAAGAAGTGATGGACTTTGAATCGCTTCAAAAAGTCTTCAAGCCATCTCAAGCGGGCAACGATGTCGAGCTGCAATTCCAACGGGTGCGAGTATCCATCGAGCCCATAGTAGCGGACGCCTGCAAGTTCTTGATGGCAGACATTCTTGTTGAGCCCATCAACCGACCATGGGACCCTTATCAGACAGTGGACACTGTCATTGGCCAATATCAGGCTGCAGTCGGCCGTCAGAACCGAATCGAAGCCGTTGAAGCATCAGAAATGACTGGATCGAGAAACAAGAAAGTTTCCGCTTGGAAGAGATTTACAGCACGGGTATCTTGAAAGTGGGTGCTTTGGAAGCAGCTGCGTTTTATTCAGACACTACAAATGTCCAAAACAGCCAGGAAATAACGGAGGGTCTGTGATTGGTTACATCAGAACATCTCAGTTTTCATGATGATTCCATCAACAATAATTATTCTCGTTGGTACAGACTTCCGGAGAAATATGAAATAAGCAGGGTATATTTGGCCTTGTAGTTGTGCTTTGGTCTGATCTCTGGCAAAGCTCTGTATCTGACTGTCCTTGCAACTTTCAAGTGTCCGCAGTAGGTTCCGGGGAGTTCTCAAAGTTGTTGAGTTGGAACAGAAAGTTAGACGAGTCATTGTCGCCTTTGGCAAGGATCGGTACCGTGCTTCTCTCCAGGGGCAGCTCGCTAGCCTACGAACGGATTAGAACCAAATCTGTGAGCATAAATTGAACGGTGTCTAACCTTCTCCACTGCTGCTGAATCAAGGCCTCTTTGCCTCATGTCTACGGCTAACTGAATGGCCATGGACCTCGTCACTGGATTGCCCCACGTCTTTGCGGCTAGAATCATGAGTCGAGGTGTGAAATCGAGATTGTCTTGTCGCTGGTAGTCTGGCTCTGTCGATGTTGGTTGATCTAGAAATACCAATGACGCCATGTACATGTGTACATGGAAAAGGTCAGCGTCGGGTTTTTCAGCATGTCGTTGACATCTGGCATCATCCTCAAAATGTTCAGAATCTCCTCGGCCGCGGCGACAAGCCTGATCCGGCATTGGCGAATCATGTGGTGGGGTGTCCCAACCCTTTCGATTGTTGACAGAGCTGCTCTGCGAAGAAGAATAATCGAAGTGTGTGTGAATGATGATATTGACGAAGGTCGCATTCTGACAACGTATACTGTTGGGTAGTTTTGGGTAGTTTGAGATCATCTGGAAGACAATTGAGGAGAGAAGCGAGGTCGTTGTCGATTTCGCGATGGCGCTTCCAGTGCAGACTAGTTTTGACGTCCTGTGCCTCTTCATCTGGAATGTTCTGGGACGACTGTTGGAATGCTTGATAGAACAACGAGGAAGCAAGAACTCTTCCAGCAAATGAAGAAAAGTTTTGCCCTTCTTGGTGCAGAATGCTTGTAGTAGGGCTCGTGAGTTCTTCTAGGCCTGCTTCAAAGGCTTTGTCGGAAGCAGGAAGGCGAGTGTGGATCTTTCGGAATATCAGTAAATGAGTTAAGAGAGGCATTGTAAGCTAGACTGGGTATTTAGAAAGACTTACACCATGCTCATTGATCATCGCCGGCCAGCCTGTGCTGCCGCATACCAGTCTATCAGAGCAGTATATTACCCACCACGTCCTCCGTCGCTCTTCTGCTTCTACCCAGTCTCGTGGCGGTGAGAGTAAGGGTATCGCATCGACGCTTTGCCCATCCACACGATGCAAGCCAAGCATTTGGGCAATTCTGATTGCTCTGCAAAGGCTCATTGAAGACTGCGCAAAGAAGAGTTGCTGAGCTTCAAAATTCGCGATCAAGCTCCATGCCTGTGCATGCGCCACCGACGTGAAGTGCTGTCCGTCTCCCTGTGGCTTTCAGCGGGCTTATCTTTGGACGTTAGGCAGGAATCAGGACGTACTCTCATTTCGTCGGCTTGCATGTAAGCTCTGGCTCGTTGGTAAAATTGAATGGCTAGCTTGCGATGCGTCTTGGTGATGTCGGCACCAAGGGCCATGACGATGTATTGAAGACACATGGGTGGGCGCATGTGAGGCGGCAAATGTAAAGACATTGAGTAACGAGCTCGCTGGAACATTGGTGCTGCAAAATACCACTTGTCGAAGTAAACATTTGTTCTATCACTTGTCAGTCGATTCGGTGAAATTTGGAACAGTTACTCACAGGAAAACGATCAGTTCCGGCGGCGGTTGTTGCTCAAATAGCCCGACTGACACTAGATCCGTGAAGGAGTCGTCTGGTTGGGACGGGTGTTGGCCCGGGGTTTCACTTGATGACTGTGATGTGTATGGCTCAGTAGTGCCAAACATGAACTCATCATGTACCGATTGAAATGGTTGCTCCTGTTGGAAGGTTTGTTGCTCGTGGCTTCCTTCGGTTAAGGGAGCCTTTTCGACAGCTCTCGCGAGCTGTTCAAGTTGATCTGCAAGGTGTTAGGCATTGGCACACAAGCCGTCGAAGGCTTCTCATTGGCTGAAAAAGGATCGCGTAGGAGTTCGTTCCTCTGTCTCATGTCGACGAACCATCGCAAATGGGATGACTGACCTAGTTTTGTTTCCAACTCATGAACCCTTTTGCGTCTGCCCACATTTGCCCGTCTGGACTGAGGATAATCGCAAGTGTCTCCAAGCCTGATGCATCGGCCGCAGCGGGGCCGTACCCGATCGCATTTCAGCTTTCGTGATCGACATTGGTGGCACGAGAATAAATTCGCAGACGCGCTATCGTCAGCTCCTCTAGATGTCGACTTTCCGGCCTGGCTACTGCTTTGCGGCTCCATGCTCGAGATGGCGCCCCGTCAGTGATGCATGTCAAAAAGGTTCCCGCAAACATCGCTTCTTCATGGCTGGAATCTCCTGATCATCAAAAGAATAATTACATGATTCAAATTATTTACACACACGAGTAATGCGCTAGATTATGTTCTACGTAAAGGCCTATGCCTACTACGCTGTATTTGAATCTCATTCGCCGCATGCGTAAGCCGGCCTCCGATGAAGTGCGAGCCGGACTTTTCGCGTTAAAGCCCCACACCGACCGAAGCTCGGGCCAATCGCGCCGGAATGCGAGACCGAAAGCCCCGTAATTATCGGCCGACTCCCCCACGACCCGGCATCGTGAAGAAAACTGCTGTCGGTGGTGCCAGTTCAACTTACCAAGTTGGATTTTGTTGTAATTTGGGAGTAGATTGGCTCATTTGGTTTCTTCCCATGTCTCCATCTATAATCCCGGCAACCAGAAACGTCTCATTTTCGGAAAGGCAGTAAATCATCGTAACGAGTCTGCAACATTGGATAGAGTCTCGATCGTTTCTTCTCCTCAATGGACGTGTCCTAAATGCTCCGTTTCGAGCGAAGTGCGCCCGATGCGTTTTAAAGGATGGCTTATACGGCAGTGACGGAGCTCCGACTTCATCAGCGACACTCGGAACTCCGGAACGGCAGGATGATCATTGGACGAAATAATCACGTGTGGTAAATATTGGACTTGGATCCGAAAGGAGACGCTTCGACGGCAGGAAGGCCTCGGCTTAGACCTGTGAGGAACCACGTCAACTCAATGCAACCGCAGCCTGTTTCGTGAGCCCAGGGGCTCCGCTTGGAAATGCCGGCAGCTGGCCATTGCTCGATTTTTGTTGAAATCTCTTGCCACTGTTGGTTAGCGATGGATTGAAATCAGGGTCAGAGCATCACGACGAGGCTATGTTGTTGCGAACAAGCCGCGCTTATCGTCATCTTGATTGATGCAACAAGCATTGCAATCAAGTCCCGACAATGGCTCCACAATGCTCGCCCGACGACTTAAGGTTATCCTTCTTTTGGGGCTTCTTGCGCAGGCACTGCTATGCTTAATTAATTTAGCGATTTCTATCTGCCGCTACCCGATTCCAATTGTAGTCTAAACAGCGAATCTGTGCCTTGCATGCCACGATGCAACATCTGATGAATTAGCGCACATTCGCGAATGGTCTAGCATCGCCAGAAAGAACGAGAACGAACATGGTGTTGAGAGCACCCGATTTTGTCCGTGAGGCTATTGACCGTTGACTTTGAAGGCACATCCTTCCGGACCAATGATGGTGTGATATGGGGGTCAGGCGAGAATTATTCTGACATCACACGCCGGTTTCCATCCCAATCGACATGCCATCATGTTCGCAGGAATACAAGGTTCTCATGAGTAATGCGGGGTCTTCGATCTAGACCCTATCGGCCGAGGATATTTTGTTAAGCTTATGACCGCAGGCGAATGCTCAGCCATCCATTGGTTACCTCCAATTCCTCCCGTCGGGAATCGCGTGTACAGAAATGGGATCGGCCGGGAATGCTAGCCTTCAAGACCTTGAACATGCATTTCAGCTCAGTAAGCCAAAACCTAGGTCATGTTTAGTCACCAGTCCCAACTGGTTGGCATAGCCCCGTTCAACCACTCGGCGCCGTGAAAAGTCTCTACTCATCTATCGGAGGTTGGGGGAATCAGACGTCACGTTCCCACCGAGGCTTCCGAGGCTCAATAGCATCGTCGCGGGGCCCCGTGGTTGAGACGTCGGGGCGTCATGCCGACGGGGCCGGAGTGGGTTCGGGCGGACGAACTTCCCATCGACCGCGGCAATGACGCAGATCGGGCACCCATATGATCGTCGTGGAGTCTTGTGAGTTGCCGAAGCAACTGATGATGTTGATGATATAACGCGTCCGCCGCGATCCCTCGGTGTGACTTCACCATCCGAACACTCATGATCGGGCAGTTGTGTGTATCGACGCTACCAGATTCCCGGATATCCACGCAGCAGAGTCACAAAGTAAGGCGGACAAGTGGAGACGAGATGCGGCCGTATGCAACCCCGTTGCGCCACTACTCATAGCATCTAAGCAAGGATCTCGGGCAGTCCCATCTAGGCTGAGTTCCTGCCAGTCACCACGATCGCATTACCAGATCGAGTAATGGTCGAACCTTCTAGGAAGCCGGAGAATACCAGTTGGGCAGACGCACTGATGTAATGGTCCGGGCGGGGTTGGCCTACTTCACATGTCCTTCACGATATCGCGGAAGCGGTCCGAGGCATTGTGGTGGTGCGGTCCCTCAAAAAGCCCCGACTTTTTGGAGGCCCATCCCCGTCGCCGATCGCCCATTTGACGTCTCGTCTAAAGTAACAACTGCCGGCACGTCACTGGCCTTCGATCGAAGCGAGGCTTGGTTAGCGCTGAAGACCCTGTATCTTACCAAGAAACCGTCTCTTCGTCCCAACTTCTTGTTGGTGGAAGCAGCGGCACCTGTCCACCAAGATTATGCCACCCACGTTGACAGGGCTCCCTTTCATCGCGGACCCTACGGACCTTCTACAATAGGGTTCTCAGTCTCCTCTTTTGCAAACCCAAAGTGGAAGGCTATTGCGAGAAATACAGGGTATCAACAGACGTCATCCACTGACGTCTCCGGGATTGACAGCGGATGCCCCGTCATTCGGGGCATCATGGCCTCTGCGCAGGCGTGCCGGGCTGTACGGCAGCCATGGAGCAAAACGTAATCGTATTCGCAGAACAGAATGGAATCATACGTTGAAGAGGGTGCAGATACAGTCGTGAGAAAGTGTATATAATGATCCTCTTAAACCCCACGATTTCCCTTTTCGAAATCATCATCATCGATAACATCATCAAACACATCCATAATCACGAATACTCTACAGTCCACCAAGAACCAATCAACGTTCCGTTTACTCAACCTCGACAAGACCAATACCACAATACCAAAACATCAAAATGCGTTTTTCCGCCGTTCTCGCCATCTTCGCTGCTTCCTACGCCGCTGCCATGCCCGTAGATGCCAAGCCAGACGCTGGCAAGGGCGGAGACATTGCTGCCTGCGAAACGAAAGCAGCTGCTGATCAGGTTGCTTGCATCAATGGTTGCGCCAAAGATGCCGCATGTATCACTGCTTGGTAAGTCTCACATATCCCCCCGCAATCTTAATAAAGCGGACTGGAAGTCTAACAAAATTTCCAGCACTTCGGTGGCCGTGCAGCAGTACACCTCATGCGCCGGTGTATAGATGAGAGTGATAAAGACATGATCAAAACCTGGGATAGACTGATTCACAAGCGGCGTTGAAGTCCCTGAGATTGCATGGGACATGACAAGACCAGAGCGTTGATGAATGAATGACTCAACCTGTACAATACACTTCACAATTGACGAAAGTTTTCTGTATCTCAATGAAAATGGCTACGTGCGACTCAGCAAACGCGAAAACCTCCGTTTATGCCTTGCATATGACATGACAATCTTCACCGCTACTTTCCATGCCCAAATCGTCGTGACTTTTCCTGGCCACCTCCGCAAGAAGATGTAGGGGACTTTGAATACTCAGGTCCACCTGCGAAAGCAACTGGGTATGATCACCCAAGTAGCGTATGTAATTGATGAGCAGATTATACACATGTGAAACACTTCCACAACCCTACAGCGTCATCTTTCTTTGATTCATCCCTTCGCTTATATTATCTGATTCTTTCATCTCTCAGAGCAAATGGGCAACATCTTACAACGCCGCCAAAATACTGCAGAATCTAGGTAACTGAGTATGTTGAAAAGATCCAAGTGAAGAATTGCTACGGGCGAGGCTCTGAGAAACTGCTCATCTGGTGCAAAAAGAGACGGCTACTAAGCCCTCGGCCAGCGGAAGTGACTTGGATCTTGAGCTGTATTTTGTGCAAAGGTAAAATGCAGCTTTGTCTGTGTTTTAAAAAGAGAATAATGTGTGTCGTCTAGCAAGCGACCAAATAACATTTACTTGTGGTGATACGTATATTTGCAGAACTGGTCAAGTACTGAAAGACCTACGTTGGTAGCATCGCAATTTCTTCTATGGTTATAGGCGGAGTGAAATCATTGGGACGTGCTCCGACCGGGTTGTAGGATGGCTCTTCTCTAGATAGTGGGAGCCCACGGACACACGACCGCACATGTGTCTCTGAATGTCCTCGACACCCATACAACATCCTCAGCATGCTTTTACGGGACCCAAAGAAAGTAGTCGAAAGAGGCTACGAATACTTCATTAGTCTGAGCACGACAATGCGCTCTCTGTTCTGCGTTTTCCCGGTTGATAGAGATCTGCTCGTGGGGCAACAGACGTAACTCTTGCAGATAATGAAAAGAAATGGAAGATCAAACACCCTATGAGGAAGTGTTTGTACTCGTTGTTGCTTGACTTGAATTCGGCTTGCCAACCCGGCTACTTCAAGCAACGAATGTTGCTATTTGGGGACATACCCACACGGGCTAAAGCAACAAAAACGTGGCAATCA